TTTGTGTTAGCTCACTGAAGAGTTCCCTGCTAAGCCAAGCTATTCTTCTGCCTACTCACTAGTCTTCTTGTGCATCCAGATGGTTCATTCCTGTGCCCTCAGTAAGGTTTTTTTAGAGTACAGCCAGCTCTCCTGGGATCCTTTCCCCCTCACACTGGCCTCCCAGGGGATCCTGCCCATCAGTTCTCTGAGTGAGTCAAGTCTGCTTTTCTCAAGTCCAGGGTCTGTGCTCTGCAGCTATCCTTCTGTCTTTTCCTTGGGATCCTGACCTCAGTCATCTCATGGTTGCTGCTGCCCAAGTTGTGATCCTCTTCTATTTCTTCCACCAATTCTTCCCTGTTTGTTAGCATGAAGTCAAGAAGAGCGTGGCCCCTAGTTGACCACTCCAGCATTTGCACCAGGAAGTTATCCCCAACACTCTCAAAAAAATTCTTGGATTGTCTGAGCGCTGCTGTATTGCCTCCCAGAAGATATTTGAGTTATTGGAGTCCCCCATGAGAATCAGGGCCTGTGACTGGTGATCTTCCACTAGCAGTTTGAAGAAAGCTATCTACCACTTCCTCCTGGTTTGGTGGTCTATGGCAGACCCCCACCATGACATCACCCTTGGTGCTCTTCCCTTTGACCCTAACCCAGAGACTTTCAACACACCTGTCTCCAGTTTCATACTGGAACTCTGAGCAATCATACAGCTTTTTTTACATAAAGGGCAAATCCTCTTCTTCTCCCCTGCCTGAATAGTTTATATCCATCCATGACCATGTTCCAGTCATGAGAGCTATCCTATTTAAATTTCCATAGAAGAATACTAATGTCTTGCAGCTTCTTTCTCCTTATCCTGTAGTCCCTGCACAGCAATGAAAGTAATCTCAGGTCTTCCTCCCAGCAGCCCAAAATTTAGTTTTATACTCAGAGTTGAACCAAGATGACAAGTATTTGTTCCACCCATTTCTTTCACAGCACTCTATATTTGACTGGGTTTTTAAAAATTTTTGATTAAGCAAAAAATCCAGTCTTTGGTCTTCACTAAAAGGACTGCTGATCACAAGTAGCTTTTTTTGATGGATTCACTTATCTTTACTAATGACAAATTATTCCACCCACTCTAAGCTAAAGGAAATGTAACTGTTGCATCTATTTCCTCTTACTGAAGGCAGCCACACACTGCACTTTCTGAAGTTCCTGACAGGGCATGACTGAGCTAGAACAGTTTCTGGTTAATGATTTGAATGATGCTACATTATCTGACTCTAAATGAGGATTGGATTCTGGTTCATTGCTTATATTAATCACATATTCAAAGCTGAGAATGTTCCAGAGGGAGTTTATCCTTTGCAAATTGAAGAGACAGGTGCTTGGGTGACAAGGAGAAGAATTCCTTTCCAAACTGACCCAGCTAATCTAGAATGAGGGAGAGGAGAAGAGAATTTTTGTGAATACAGTGAAATAACTTAGTTCAAAATTATGTTTATTGAGGAAAAGCTCCATGGGGTTAAGTCATGTTTGTTTGAGATGATTATTCTGGAGGCCCCTTGGGAATTACAACATCACAATAAATGTTGACTCATCTTCATTGGTTCCTCAGAAGTCCCTTCAGAGACATTGCATAAAATCTCTTGTTCTAAAAGAAGGTACCACTTCAAGGGTTTCATGGATCCTGAATAGTCCTTCATTTTTTCTCTTGTCTGATGACACAAAGAGTATTGTACTACTAAAAGAAAACTGCAAAACCTGCAGAAGATTTGTCTCTTTAGACACATGGTCCTGCTCAGGTCTGAACTCTCAGTGATGTGTGTCAGGATGTGGCAGGAAAAGAAACCTGATTTCATGCTGTCTGACCTATGCTCTTATGGTAACTCTACAATGCGTGTGCCATTAGCAGCTGTAATGCTCAGCTCTGAGGGTTGATTGAGTTGAAGCAAAAGTCAGAAAAAAGAGTGACACCCACCGGCACTGATAAAACTGTAACAGAGATACAGAGGGTGGGCGTATCCCTAAACAAAAGGGGAAGAAAAAACTTTAAAATCTGTATGGGTCACTGTCAAAATTCAGTAGAATGTTTAACTGAAGAGCTTTGTAAGAAAATAAAGACATTGAGCAGATTTGTAGAGCACAACGGCAATAATAGCAAATTATAATTCCTTCTTGCTTTTCGTAGAGATGTAAAGGCTGAGAAACAGGTCCTCTCTCTGATGATCCATCAGACATTCATGGCTAAGGCACCACAATTTCTGTTGCCAACAGCATATCAGAGTGGCATAGCTGGCAATGCACTTTGATGTCTCTGCCTGCCAGGCCAATGCTCAAAGCTGGGTTAAAGGAGGGGTATCTTCCAGTGCAAGCCCAAACCAAGACTGAGACTCATAACTCAAGATTCTCAGTGAGATGTGTTAATCACTCTGACACTATGTATTGCTTGCAGCCACCAGCCAGTCTTTTACTGACAGAGGTGTCAGGTCATATTCCATTACTGGCACTCTAGAGCTAACATGTCAGGTAGCTGGTGCTGGCCAGGCTCTGGCCAGGATCCTGGAGTCCACGTGACACTGGCTGATTATGATGTGACGGCTGCTATGGCGTTCTGTTCCATTGCAGGTCCGTGCATAGAGCTGATTTTGTTTTTCAACTGCAGGGAAATTTATCATTTCAGCTTGGAGTTGTGCATCTATGAGAATCATCAAATGCAGCTCAGTCAGAAATATTTGTTTTTGCAGCTCATGTTTGCTGAAGTCTAGGAGACCAGATCCTCAACTGAAGTAATTACACTGATTCATTCCAGCTCAGACTGTTGAGATACACATTGTATGTGGTTTATTTAGTAGTTTTCATGCAGCAGTAATAGGGGATAAAATGATACGCAAAACTGGCCAAGTTATCCTTGAAAGTTTCAGTTCCCATATAGGCATTAGTTGCTGAACCTTACAAAATGCCAATCATTTCCAAGGAAGGACTGAGTCCGTTCCACTCAAGAAAGTCAGGACCTTAAAGACTGAAGCCCCAGAAGCATGAGGTGGACATTGTATTTGTTCCAGCAGATATTTTGCTTATTTGGACTCAAACAGGGAAGGCTGATGTGAGGAGATGATGCTGAAAAATGTGTTTATTGTCTGAAACACAAGCAGGTCAGAACTTCTGAACTCCACCAGAAAACAACCCTGTTCTTGGGGATGTTACATGCACTGCAGTTACTACAGCCATAATGTGACACCAGAGTCAGGCTGTGCTGGAGGAGCTGCCAGAACCTGTAAGCACTGGGGCCAAATAGTTCAGGACAAATAGGCTTTAGAGATGCTGACCAGACCAGAATTTTACTGTACGGTATTTGATTCTATAATCAAAGACTTTATCATAATGCTAGTGCACAAGGTGAAACAATTCATCTTGCACAGGTAACCAGTTTTCTAATATTTGACAATTTGACTTTGGGACCCCATTGACTAATGTGTACAGTCTCAGGGCCTTGTTACATGTTGAATTTTGAGCTGCTTAAATGCTGATTTAATGCTAGTTCAAATTTGGAGTAGTCACAATATTAAGGCTAAATACCTTCTCTGATTGTCCAGCATCTTCACAGCTGTGACTTGCCACTAGACAGTGAGCAGGGGCCGGACTAGGAGGTATAGTTGTGAGTTGCCACTAGATAGCTGATGAGGCAGGACTGGCTTCTTTCCCTGTTCTAGCTGGGGGTGCATTGGAGATATGGATTGGTGGGTTGGGGAGGCAGGCAGTCACAAGTAGGGCTATGCAAAATAGGACCTATTCAATTCAGATTTGGCCTGAATCAGGGACAGTGATTCGATTAATTGATTTGGATCACTGTCCTCAATTCAATTTGGCCCAATCCGAATCTGAAGATTCGATGCTGATTCGTAGAAACAGTGATTCAGCCATAGACACAGCTTTAAATGTTTTTTCTACATACCTTGAGGTACCAGGTGTGGCTTGTGAATGCTGCAATGCTGGGGTAGATGGAGTGTCCCACAGGAGCGTGGGCAGGGGCGGGGGGGCATGTGCTGGGCGGTGAAACTGGAAGTGGACCAGAGAGCGGATCAGCTCTTTAAAAAAAAAAAAGACCCCACTCACCGGCTTCTGCCAGGTGGGGGGCCATCCCTGCTGCCTCCCACTGCCCTGAAGTGTGGGGGGGCTCTGCCATGAGCCACCAGAAGCACCGAGGCCACTGCAGCAGCTGGTGAGTGCTGGGCTTTACCAGCATGGAGTCCAGGTCCAGTGAGCGGGGACTGCCTGAAACTCTGAAGCTCTCTGAATCATTTCCAAATTGATTTGGAGAGCTTTGAATTGATTTGGACCTTTTAATTGGTCTCCTGATTCGATTCGGATTTGGAGATTAGGCCGCCGAATTAGGCTGAATCTCCTCCCAATTGAATCAACACCCGAAGCTTTACACAGCCCTAGTGGTTATGTATTGGAACAGGCCACCTAGAGAGGTTGTGGAATCTCTCTCTTTGGGAATTTTTAAGAATAGGCTAGGCATACACTTGACTGGAGTGAATTGTTCAGGGGTGATCCTACCTGGATCAGTGAGCTCAATTAAATGAACCCTGATGTTCCATGCAAACCTACTTTTCTACGCTTCTAAGACAGCTTTGCAGAATTATTTGAAAATGTATTGCTTTGAATATAAAAACATTCACTCATCTCACCAAGAAAAGAATTGAAATATTATCTTCTCGCCAGTCAAAAGAAAAAATGTTTCTGGACAAGATTGTGAGGAATGTTTTTACAAGGCTGCACACAGTTCTTGATGCACAGGAAGTGATGCGATTACCATTTACATACCTTTCCATATTGGTAGCTTGATTTAGTTCCCAGTGAAGTCCATGGGGGAAGGATCACGATCTATGTGAAATGTAAATAAATGTAAATGAGTTGGTGTTTATCAAGAGATCAAAACTTGATATTTGCCTTATTTTCACATGTTCAGTTTCTCTTCTTCCAGATACTAATAATGCTGGTCTGTGCATTGAACAACTCTGTCTAAAATGGAAAATCAAACATTCGTCACAGAATTCATCCTGTTGGGATTCTCTACAGGGCCAAAAGTGCAGCTATTCCTGTTTGGGGTCGTCTTTGTCATTTATGTTGCCTCACTGACTGGAAATGCACTTGTATTTGTGCTAGTCTGTCTGGATCCCCAACTCCACACCCCCATGTATTTCTTCCTCTGCCATCTCTCCATATTAGACTTATGCTATGCTTCCAGTAATGTCCCCCATGTGCTGGGGAGCCTCCTTCTCCAGAGAAAAACCATCTCATTTGCTGCATGTGGGACACAGATATACCTCTACCTGACCTTGGCCCTAACAGAGTGTCTGTTGCTGACAGTGATGTCTTATGATCGGTACGTGGCAATTTGTCACCCCTTGCGCTACAGTCTCATTGTGAACTGGAGAGTGTGCCTCACTCTGGTGGCATGTTCATGGGTCTGTGGTTTTCTGTTTGGGGCACTGCAAACAGGTCTGGCCCTGCGGTTGCCCTTCTGTGGCCCCAGGCAAGTGGACCATTTTTTCTGTGACATTCTGGCTGTCTTAAAGTTGGCTTGTGCTGACACTACTATCAACAAAATTATGATCTTTACTGTCTGTGTGTTCTTTCTCCTGTGCCCCTTCTGCCTAATTCTCATTTCCTATCTGCACATCCTGGCTGCCATCCTGTGCATCCACTCTGCTGAGGGGCAGCGCAAAACTTTTTCCACCTGCAGCTCCCACCTCCTGACAGTGGGTCTCTTTTATGGTACAGCCATCTTCATGTGCATGGGGTCAGGGACTAGTTCACAACATCAACAGAAAATTCTCTCCCTCTTTTACCGCTTCATCAACCCCATGTTGAACCCCCTGATATACAGCCTGAGGAACAAACAGGTGAAGGGAGCCCTGGTGAAAGTTCTCAGGATGGAAAAATTCTATCATTCAACATAATTATCTCTCCTACTTAGCCTAACTGTATTCCTCTGTATTCTCATATTTTCATGCCATATTAATATACATGTCAATCAATTAAATGTGTTAAATAAATATATATATAAATGTGCAAAAACTTGGACTCCAACTCAGACAACACATGGATCTGTGAAACTTGTAATAAGCTGAGCCACTATCAAATTGGGCTTGTTGGTGACAAGTGAGTTCATCAGGTACCTCACTAGACTTGTATGCATACACCATGGTCCAGAGGTTCAACAGTTGCCTATATATAATATGTATTTAATAGGTGTGGCATTTATATCATTCTTTGTTATTCTTGAACAAAACCACAAGTATCACAGTATAAAGGTAATTTAGAATTGAGCTTTTTGCTCAATATTATTACTCCTATTATGAAATCACTTCTCTCATAATCCCAATAAATTAGTCTGTCCAGAGCACTGTGCAGGAACAGCTAGCTATTTCTTTGAATCAGGTTAGCTCAGTGGTGTTCAACTTTTTCACCCTGCAGGCCAGATTGGCAGTGCGAGGTCAGTCCATGGTCTGAATCCAGCTAGTGGATTTGATCTGGCATATAGGGCCAGTGCAAGTGGGGGCTCAGTCTGACTGTGGTGGTATGCACAGCCCAGCCCCAATTCTTCTGCCCATGGGAACAAGAAGTAGCCTAATCCCAAATTTGAAGCACAAGGAGGGGAAGTGTGGGGAATGATGGCAGGAGCAGCACAGCCCCAGTCGGGATGTGGGGAACAGCCCGGGCCTGATCCAGATGTCTGGGGGGCACATGGAGTAGCCCCAGTCCAGATGCATGGGACAAAGACAAAGCAACCCATCCCCAGTCCAGATGTGCAGTGGGTTTGTGGGGGGTAGAGACAGGGAGCAGGCTGGCCCTATCTGATCAGGCAGGGGTGGACCCAGCCATGATCCTGCTGCACAGCAATGGCCTGGATGGGTCAGGTTCCAGCCCCAGATAGACTCCACTGCTTCCACACTGCCAAATTTCCTGATCCATGGGGTCCCCACAGGCTGAATATCATGGCTGTGTGTGTTGAATTTGGCCTGTGGGCTAGGGCTTGAGCACCCATGGACTAGCTCATTCCAAAGTCTGAAGAAAAGACCTGTACTGAGAAAAGAGCAGTAAACAGTGTTTAAAGATTTGCACTTCAAGAATGCACAAAAAGAGCCAGTGTTCCAAGACGGCTGCTTCTTGATGAAAAACCATTGGACCTTCAACTGAGAGAGTTACCTATTTGAAGTTACGAATGCCCTTTTCCAGGAAGCAGGACATGGCTATATTTTGTAAATAGATGACTTGAGGAAATCTCTTGGTTTTAATCCACTAAATTTTCTATCATGAAAACTATTGAAAATCCACCAAATCTGCTACCATTTGACAAACAGCAACATGAATGTACAGGTTGAAGGGTGTACACATGCACAAAAAGGGGCGCCCAGAAACCCATTGGTAAAGGGTGACCATAATTCAGGTCTCTCCTCAGCTGAAAGAGCAATTCCACTTGCAAAGGCTGTTGAACTAGACAACACAGAACAAAGCCAATAGAGACAAGCAGTGCTGGACTGCTCTGACCTTCCCAATCCTTTCTCTGACTTTCCCAGTCATCATGCTACCAATCCCTCCACCTCACCCTGACAGGGAACAAGCACTTCTCAGCCAGGATGGCCGACCTACTTGACAGGGCTTTAAACTAGGAGTGCCAGGGGATGGGCAGTCAATAACCAGTTCTAGCCTAGGTCACAACACCCACAGTACTAACAGGTTAGGTAGCCCAAAGGAACCCACTATGAAATCAGCCCAAGGAAAGGTCATGTCCCAGTACACAGGGAAGCCCAGGGCTTCCCATGGCAGGCTCAGCTGCCTGTACACAAATGCCAGGAGTTTGGGAAATGAGCAAGAGGAACTGGCCCTTCTCCTGAGTGATAATGATTATGATCTCATAGGGATAACGAGGACCTGGTGGCACTCCACCTATCACTGGTATGACTGTACAAGAAGGCTATACCTTGTACAGGAGTGACTGTGTTGGGAAGAGGGGTGGAGATGTAGCTCTGTACATAAAGGAGCAGTACACTTTCCATTAAACTGAGTTTAACAACCCTGGAGGGGGTCTTGAGACCCTCTGGGTTAAAATATGGGGGGAGCATAGGGAAAGGTATATAACTGTAGGAGTCTATTACAGAACTCCCAACCAAGATGAAGAGTTGGATCAAAAATTCAGTAGGGAATTGGCTGAGGCTGCACACTCCTCAAACTAAAAAGAGAAGTCTACACCAGATGCAAAATGGGAATCATTAGCAAGGAGGACTACAGAGCACCGTAGAGAGCAGACCAGAAAAGCCAAGGCAGAAACCAAACTCTGGTTATCCATGGGAATCAAAGACAACAAAAAGTCTTTCTTCAGATATGTGGGAAGTCAGAGGAAAAACAAAGGCAACTCTGGACTCTTGCTAAATCAAATGGGGTAGCTGACATCTGATGTTCAGAAAAAGGCCAATCTCCTAAATGATTACTTTGCATTGGTCTTTCACCCATCCCAAGGGGTCACCCTGTCAGATAAGACACAAAACGTATAGGCGGCAGGAGATGGGCCCACAATTGACATAGATCAAGTAAGGGAACACCTCAAGAGTCTCGACATCCACAGGTCTGCGGGCCCGGATGGAATGCACCCAAGAGTCTTGAAGAAGCTGGCGAACATCACAGCACGCCCTATGGTGAAAATATTTGAATTTTTGATCCAACTCTTCATCTTGGTTGAAGTCTCAATAGCTACTGATATACCTTTCTTCAATAATTTGTCCAGTCCCTTTTTGAATCTGGTTAAACTGTCAGCTTCCATAACATCTTCTGGCAATGTATCCCACACTTTAATTATACAATGTATGAAAAGGAACTTACTTTTGTTAGCTTTAAACGTATTACCTCCTAGTTTCAATTCATGACCCATAGTTCTTGTATTGAGAGAGAGAGAGAGAGAGTAAATAATGACTTTCTATTTACTGCCTCTTCACTACTTAGTATTTTTTAGGGTTGTATGGAATTTTGCTGGCTGTTTTGTTTCGACACTGTTTCAACTCGTTTCGAGCTTGAAACAGAGAAATCAAAACAAAATAAAGGGCTTCAAAACAGCCTTGAAACAAAACGAGGGCAGTTGAAACATTTTGAAAGTTTCAAAACATTTCAAGTTTCAAAGCTGAAGCTGGGCTTTCCTGCAGGGAAACAGAAAGTAAGGAGAGGGAGGGGTAAGAGGGGGGAAGGACTGCTCTCATATTGACTGTGACTGTTTGGCTGCCTGAGATGCTGCTGGCGCTGCTGTGCTGCTTACTAAGTTATTACCTGTTGTCGTTTAAGGTGATGGACTGAGATGAGGCTGTAGGGGAGGAGGAGACCTCATTGGGACACACTACTGTGTTGTGAAGAGGCCCCAACACCAGTGAGACTGCACCTTAACACACATGCACAGTCACACATGTTACGAGTTTTGCTTGTCAGCAACTTGAGGTGCTGTTTCCCAGAAACCCCTGCACCTATCTTCTTGAAACCAGGAAGGCTTCATGGCCTCGGCAGGGCTACCATGCCTGCAGTTTTCACTCTGCTGTGACTTAACACACACGTGACACAAGTTTTCCTTGTCAGCAGCTTGAGCTGCAGTTTCCCAGAAACCCCTAAACCTATCTCCTGGAAACTTCACAGGCTTCATGCTCTCAGAAGGAGCTACCGTTCCTGCTGTTTTCATCCAAATCTGCCAAACAATGACAAAGTTATAGGCAGTTTTGTGCTTCCCCATTATAGCCTATGGGTGAACCATCAAAACAATGTCGAAACAGAGAAACAGGTTTGATGAAACGAAATGGAACAGTGGTTTCAAAATGAAATGAAACTCGAAACAAAACACTTTCCCATCAAAACAGCAAAATGGAAATCGAAACGAACCAGTACTGCTTTGCACAGCCCTAGTATTTGTAAACCCTTTTTATGTCTTCCCTCAAGTGTCTTTTTTCTAAACTGAATGCATCTAGCCTCCTTAGTCTTTCTTCATATGGAAGCCCCTCCATACCACTAATCATCCTTCTTGCCTTCATTTGACTAAATTGTTTTTTTACAAAATGTACACAAGGCCTGTTCCCTTCAGAGAAACAGTCACAGTTTCATACAGGCCATTCTCACAGCTAAGCATCAGTGCTTTTACACCAAGAAATAGCCCTCCTGGGATATTGCTTCTTCTTCTACTGCCTTCTAATCTAATGCTCCAAACTCTAAAATCTCTGCTCCTTCTTTCATGCATATTTACACTGCAGATTTTTCAAAATGCTTGCTTGGGTACAAGAGCCAGCCTAGCTGCATCAACAAAAAGGTCTTAAAGTATATAGTACCGTACAAAGAAGTGGCATGAAATAATAATAATAATTCCATTATAAAAGCTTTGTACCATAGTATCCAATTGTGGGACTATTGGAGCCCTGGGTGGCTTGTCCAGAGGTGCAGGGAGACTCCCACCTCTGTGTGCACCCCGAGGGAGGCATGGGCGAGCACGTGACCACCAGATTTGTATGTGGGGAGGAGGTGGGCTGCAGCTGCAGGCTGGGGCTCTGCACCCTGCTGCCTTTGCTGCTGCTGTGGGAGCTGCATGATGCCATGTGCCTGCTGCTGCCATGCAGGCAGGGGACACGGCGCAGCCCGGGGGTGGCAGGCACATGGCATTGTGTGGCTTCCGGGGCAACAGCAACAGGTTGCAGATCCCATTACGCAGAGGCAGCTTGCCTCTGCCCTGTGCTCAAATCCGAGGGGAACTTACCTGCCTGTGCCTCCCCCAAGGTGTGCACAGAGGCAGGAGCCCCCCCTGCACTCCTGGATGAACTGCCTGGTGCTCCGATCATCCTACGACCCACCCCAGGGCCCCATCTACCCCAGCCCCTGCCTTAGCATTTGGTTTTTCGGACAACATTAGTATATTGATTTATATGACAGCATTATCTTA